TACTGTAAGGCATGCTGCCCCCGGAAACCAACACCCCCCCCCCCCCGCCTGGCCCCGTTTGGGTCTCAGCTTTCCTGTTGCCCTTCTCTGGGTAAGGCTGCGATGGGCATCCTTGCTGCCTCCCCACAGTGTGGTTTCTTGGCCTAAGAATTTTTTTAGTCCGTGTGTCAGGTATGATTCCCAGAATCACTGGATTGTTTTGAAGCAGGATACGTTCTGCTGCCCGACTGCCACTGGGCCAGGAAGTTCTTGTTGGTGCTTCAGAGCTTCCACTTCAGCCCTTTGTATGTTCCCAAAGAAGGTACAGGGCTTCCCTAGTGGCGCAGTGGTTGGGAGTCCGCCTGCCAATGCAGGGGACACGGGTTTGAGTCCTAGTCTGGGAGGATCCCACATGCCGCGGAGCAACTGGGCCCGTGCGCCACAACTACTGAGCCTGCGCTCTAGAGCCCGTGAGCCACAACTACTGAGCCCGCATGCCACAACTACTGAAGCCTTTGCGCCCTAGAGCCCATGCTCCGCAGCAAGAGAGGCCATCACAATGGGAGGCCTGCGCACTGCAACAAAGAGTGGACCCCGCTCACCTCGACTAGAGAAAGTCCGCGCGCAGCAACAAAGACCCAACACTGCCAAAAATAAATTAATTTTAAAAAAAAAAAAGAAGGTACAGATTTTGTGGAATGCAGGCATTAAGGGAGGGGAGGCTCAAGTAAGGTGAAAGAGCTGTGGGGAGCTTCTCATCAGCGTGGAGTCTCAGATTTGCTGGTGTTCGTGGGTGCTGTCGTTGACTGATAAGGAAACAAGCTGAAGAAGCAGAGGTGCCTGTTAGGAAAAAAAAGAGTAGCTCAGACTGGCTGAGATAGTGCAGCCATTTTGTATGCTAGCAAGTTTTGGGTGGGGGGGGCGGGGGGGGGTTTGTGTGTGGTACGCAGGCCTCTCACTGCTGTGGCCTCTCCCGTTGCGGAGCACAGGCTCCGGACGCGCAGGCTCAGCGGCCATGGCTCACGGGCCCAGCCGCTCCGCGGCATGCGGGATCTTCCCGGACCGGGGCACGAACCCGTGTCCCCTGCATCGGCAGGTGGACTCTCAACCACTGCGCCACCAGGGAAGTCCCACTGCTAGCAAGTTTTGATGAGGAGTGCGAGACTTCTGATTTTGTCAAGTTACAGTTAATACATTTTAAGAACCCCTCAGGATGAAAAGTGGCCCCTGGTCAGGGCTCAGCCCTATAAGTGAGGGTTTAGAGGGAGCAACAAAGCTGTTTAGAGCCGGATTCGTGGACTTCAGGGTGGCAGGGTGTCTAGGAACCTCCTGGAACTTACTGTAAAACTTTGTTTGTAAATACTTCAGGGGAGAGGGCCTGGAGCTTTCACTAGCTTTTTAAAGCAGTTCTTGACCCAGCAGTTTGCATGAAAATGGATGCCCAGTCACGGTGGTCCAAGTCTCCCTGCCTGTGTGCGGTGGTTACCCTGTGTGAGTGTGCAGGGCTTACCTGTGTCTTCTAGGAAAAGAGGACACAGACCCCAAGAGGCCAGATATCCTATGAGCCAGATGCCTGAGGGAGTGTGTGAAAAAGGAGTGGAATCGAACAGAAAGGAACATTTTCCCAAGCTAAAGATGTGGACACAGAAGGAGGAGGATTGACTGACTGGGATTGGAATGAAATGGAGAAAAGCAAACAAGCTGAATCTCCAGGGGGAGGACTTTGTGACCACAAGAATGAATAGGTCGTGGCCCTGTCATCCTAGCGGAGGTTGGAGCAGCTCCATTAGTGGGGAGTTTTCAGGAAATGTGGGTGTGATGGGAGGACAAGCGTGGCTGACCTTGAAAGGGGCTCTTCTGGAGGGCTGCAGGCACTACTTCCCCACAGGACTGTTGGGCAGTCCCTAGAATTGCCTCTACCGTTTCTCTCGCATTCAGCACACACAGACACCTCCTGAGAGCCAAATTCAGGACCCGCTTGCCACAGCAGAAGAGTCATGAGCACAGTATTTGAATTGCTTGTATTTTGAGATAGGAGTAGCTCTTGGAATAATCCAGAAAGTATAGTTTGAGGGGTTTTTTTTAAAGAAAGAAAGTCTGATATTACAGATTCAAGACTCTTCATAATAAGGCTCTTTGCACTGAACTAAAGAAAAATGTCAGTGGTCGCTACCATTCTCTTCCTGTGCTTCATGGCTGCCATTTCAAGAGTACTGATTCTTCCTTCAGTGGAAGGAGAGGGTATCAGAGGCGTCTCTCTAGCCATCCAGGGTAGGAGCTGTGTCCCCTAGAGGTTTGTGGTGTGGACAGCTGTGGGCTGGGCTCTCCCGTTCCCCACTGGAAACACCTATGGACCCTTCAGATGGTCTTTTTCGGGAAGTCTTGTCTCTGAAGTTGTGGCCACAGTGGTTTACTTGATGAAAAGGGTGTTTGCAAGCCCAGGGAGAAAGTTTCTGCGGCCGATTGGAGTTCCATGCCTTCTCCCAAGCGCCCTGTGCCCCTAAGCACATCTAGCTTTTCCCTGCTCATGAATCACATTTCCCACAGCATTTATCTCTGACCTTCTCCGCTGTCTTCATGCCCTTGAACCCCACCCAGCCCCCTTCACTCTTTGTCCTACACTTTTCCAGAGATCGGGGCCATCCACTGTGAGTGCTCTCACCTTCTCTCTTCTTCCCCTCGAGATCTCCTCCTCCGTCCCCTCCCCTTTTCTTCCTGCCCTCTCCAGGCCACTTTTCCTCTCTCCTGGATGGATCGCCTTGGCACTACTTGGCACTACTCCCTTTGCTCTCTCGCATCTTCTTTTTGTACTGGCTTCTTCCCCTGCCTGCAAACACGGCACAGGCCTCTGTCCTGCCTGCTCAACAACATCCCTGTCGTACCGTCCTTCTGGAAGCAGTCACCCACACTCATTGCATTGCCTCTACTGCTGGACATTCACCTATCCTTTTTTTAAAAAAACAAAAACAAAAAACGTTCATTTATTTATTTATTTATTGGCTGCGTTGGGTTTCCATTGCTGCGAGTGGGCTTTCTCTAGTTGCGGCGAGCGGGGGATACTCTTCGTTGCAGTGCGCAGGCTTCTCACCGCAGTGGCTTCTCTTGCTGCGGAGCATGGGCTTTAGGCACACGGGCTTCAGTAGCTGTGGCTCGCGGGCTCTAGAGCGCAGGCTCAGTAGTCATGGCGCACGAGCTTAGTTGCTCCGCGGCATGTGGGATCTTCCCAGACCAGGGCTCGAACCCGTGTCCCCTGCATTGGCAGCAGATTCCCAACCACCGTGCCACCAGGGAAGTCCCTCACCCATCCTTAACCCAGAGCTTCCCAAACTTTTTCCCATCATAACACACGCAGAAGATGTTGCTGTTTGAGTGACACGTGGCATGTGTGTGCCAGGCTGAGGAAAGGCAGGGTTCTGGTTGCCCTGAGGACGAGAAGCACTGTGGCAGCATCCCTGTAATCCATTCCCAGCACATGCCTGAGATCTTTGCAATTCGACCCTGTCCGCCACCCCTCGCCATACTTTTCCCCCTAAAATAGCCTTCCTAAAGACCACCAGTAACTAAATGCTAAATGCAAAGACCTTTTCTTTGTTTCCGTCTTCATTGACATCCAAGTGGCATTTGACATACACTAGTGGTTGAGGGCTCAGACTCTGGGGCGGGCCTGCCTGCGTTCAGTTCCTGGCTTTGCCGTTCTCTAGTGGTATGACCTTGGGCAGCTTATTTAATGTGTCTCTGCCTTGCTTTCCTCATTTGCAGAATGAGGATAATAAAATACTTACCTCCTAGGGTTGCTGTGTGAGTTAAGTAGTTGCTGTACGGAAAGTGTGTAAGCGGTGCCTCTCTCGTCAGAAGTGCCGGGAGTGTCTGCTGTAGCTTTTGAGTCCCCCTTCTCTGAGGCCCTTTCTCCTGTTTCTCCTAATATTGGACACTCCCAATCTTTCTCCTGGCTCTTTGAACTCCCTTGGTTTTTGTTTGTTTCCATTCTCCAGTTTCTCTTTTGGCTCCCCAAAATGGAGGAGGGCGTAGAGAATGCAGCCTCGACTCTCCTACTTCCCTTCTTCCCTTCTTGGACCCTCTGGTCGATGATGCCAGCTCCCACCTTCAGCCCAGTCATTGCCCCAGGCCCCGAGTGCCTGCTGCAGATCGCCCTCTGGATCTCCTCCCTGCACCTCAGACCCAGGAGTCCCCAAAATATTTGAATGTTTTATTTTTGTTTTAAAAGTAATAAATGTTCATTATAGACAATACAGACACATTGAAAGGATTAAACATCTTTAATCCCACCACTCAGCAAGCACCACTGCTGAAAGGCTCTCAAGCTGGGCTGCGTTTCCCCCAGGGAACATTTAGCAATATCTGAAGACATTTTTGGTTTTCATCTCGGGGTTTGGGGGAGGTGCTACCGGCATTTAGTGGGTAGAGTCCAAGGATGCCACTGAGCGTTTTACAGAGCACAAGAGAGAATTAGCCCAGTAGTGCCAGGGCTGAGAAACCCTGTTCTGGACCTTTGTCTCTACATAAATGGTCCAGATAGAGCAAACTGGAATTGGTTTTCTCTCTACCTCCGTCCTGCTTTGCACCTGTGTTCTCTGTTTCTGTCCGTGACCGCACCTTCTCTTTCAGCCCCCATCAGGTCCAGTAAGATTCCCCACCTGTCACATCTTCGGCGTCCATCCCTTCTTCTCCCTTCCAGTTTAGCATTGATGGCCACTCTCCCAACTCATGAGAAAGCCTCCAGCAGGCCCTTCGCCTCAAGCCTCCTGCTCGGCCTCGCCCGTGCCTCTCGTGTGCTTAGAGGCCGCTCGTCGACTTCCACCGCCTGCAAAGTCCATGCCCTGAGCTCCCTAAGGGCAGTAGCTCCCCATATGACTGATCTTTGTACCCTGCCAGAACCAAGTGGCGCTCTGAGCACAAAGCCGGCGCTCAGTGGATCTGTAGAATCTGTACGAATGAATGGTTGCGTGAAAGAAAAAAAAAGCCGAAAAACATTCTCCCTCATAACCTGTCCATCTTTGCAGATCCTCAGTGAATGGTTTGGCCAGACTGTCATCCGCTCCTGCACCAAACTGAGCTATGAACATGCACAGAGCATGATTGAAGGCCCCACTAGGAAGATCCCCGAGGAGGAGCTGCCCACCGTCTCCCCGGAGCACACCAGTGAGGAAGTGCACCGGGCTGTTTTGAACCTCCACCGTATCGCAAAGGAGTTACGCCAACAGCGGTTTGTGGACGGCGCACTTCGTTTGGATCAGGTCAGTCGCTGCTTTTTTGTCAACAACCAGCAGGTTTGACTTTGGCCAGAACCCAGTGTGTGTGAGGTTTCGCGTGGCAGTCCTGGGCTCCCCCCTCCTCCTTTCCTCAATCACTGCGCTGAAATAGTGTCCTCTGAGGCAGGCAGGAACCACCCCCCCCACCTGCCCTGCCAACTCCACAGGCACCCAGGGCCTGATGACATGAGCCAAGGCGAAAGGGTGGTGTCTGTCTGGGTGGCTCCGTGACCAGAACTGCCATCTGGTCTTCCAGGTGAGGCTGGATCGAGTACTTGATCCTCACCCAGTTTCCATCTCACATCCCTCTTACGGGAGTTGGGAACAGGAATCATGGACGTGTAGAAAGCAGTTGATCAATATCTCATAGTTAGGCTTTAAAACAAAAGTGTTTCTTCTTATCCCTTGTCTTCCAAAAAGATTTATATGTTTACAAATATCTGGATTAATATCTGAAAAAGCAGAGAACTGAGGAGACTGTAGAACGTTGGCTGTTGAAGAAAGCAGTGGCCCGGAATAGTATCGATTGCTCTTGAGTATCACAGGCATGCTGACGGCCCTCTGGGACTCAGACAGCTGCCACTAAAACCTGGTCGACTTCCACGTCTGAGAGTTGGTAATTCTTAAGATCCAGCAGTTCCTTCCTCATTACTTGCCAGTACGTTACAGAGTAGAGCCTTTGTTCCATATTGTGCAGCCTTTTTCTTCTCATTTATATTTCTTACCCGAGCCCCAGAGAACTCGCTCTCCTCCCCTGGTCTCTGTACGCTGTGGGAAGTCTCTGGGAGTTCGGAAAATGAGTTGGGCCACAGGATTGGCTGAGGGAGCCGTTCGTCAGACCATCGGCAGAGCGCAGCCTCGCAGAGACTTCTTTCTCTGAGCCTTTCAGCTTGGAGAGATCTCAAAGTAGAGTAGTTTATCAGAAATTATGATGAATTATGAGTAGCTTATCAGTAGTTTAACAGCCTTGTTTTAAAACTTTCTAATTGAAGATTTCGTTGCGTCCTACTTTTTGTGATAAACTTACACAAATGCTTCTCAGAAGGCATGGCGAACAGTTGCTGCTCTGGGCCTACGAATAAGTTAGCAGCTCTTGGGACAAATGGATCATCTGTTCTGCCTGTGCTTGGGGGAGTCAAGGCATCTTCTGGAACCCTCATGCCCCTCCTTCCCTTGCCTGGGCTCAGGTAGCCGGAGCAGACCTGCCTGCTCGAGAATGCCACTTGGGAGACAGTAGGCAGAGTGGCTGCTGAAGGAGATGGCAGAGCCAGCGGAAGAGGCGTCACGGGCATGGAAGAGGATGGAGGATCTCCTCTCCTTCCTTTAGTGAGATCATTCTTTGGGGGCGTGAAGCTCATTCTCACTTACCAGCGGCTGCCTGGTTGTAAATCCAAGGACGCTTCTCAGTGTTTGCTTCCTGGACTTCTGTCCTGCCTTTGGCCCAGGAGAGAAGCAGAGAAGCAGACTGGTTCTCTGCTTCTCTTCATACATCTCTAGTCATGTCCTGCTGGTTCCTTTGCTGGAGCCTCTTCCTCTGCTCACCTCTTTACAGTTGGCATTCCCTGGAGTCTACCCCATCCTCTTTTTCTCTATCCACACTGTCTCCCTGAATGAATTCCTGTGTTCTTAGGATTTTAATTACCAGTTAGATGCTGATAACACCAAAATTAGTTTCTCCGGCCCTGCCCTTCTTCCCAGGCACTACACAGGCCTCTGCACCTGCGTCCCTGGACTCCTCACCTGGCTGCCCCACGGTCCTCTCAGCCAGTGCTCGCCGCACCTTCTGCCCGACACAGTGAGCAGTGCCACGGTGCGCTGCACGCGCTGGCTGTGCTCCCTTCCACCAGGAGTTGTGTGTATCAAGGGTCAGCCCTCTTTATTCCCATCCTGCTACACCAGTTGTACATGTTGTTATAATTATGCAGTTTAACTGAATATTAGGTAAACTGATCAAGTAAGAACATTTTTAAAAGCTGGTGTTTCTGTGAAAACTAAGTTAAATTGTTTGGAAACACTCGATGAAGAAGAATCTCCAAAAGTTCTGCTGTTTGGGTGTGACAACTATAGAAGAGTGGGGGAAAAGATCATAAAATTCAGGAGGGGGCTTCCCTGGTGGTACAGTGGTTGAGAGTCCGCCTGCCGATGCAGGGGACACGGGTTCGTGCCCCGGCCTGGGAAGATCCCGCATGCCGCGGAGCGGCTGGGCCCGTGAGCCATGGCCGCTGAGCCTGCGTCTCCGGAGCCTGTGCTCCGCAACTGGAGAGGCCACAACAGTGAGAGGCCCGCGTATCGCAAAAAAAAAAAAAAAAATTCAGGAGGAATTCTGTACTGAGATTGCTTTACAGATGCCTAAGCTCTCACTCTCTTTTAATGAAACAAAAACTATAAATTATACATGATGAATTACGAGTAGTTTATCAGAAAAAAGTATGTAGAAATCCAATTAGCATACCTTTTCAAAAAGCTTTACATTTTTTCTGAAAGTGAATGAATGTAGATTTATATAAATTAAGTAAAACAAATGTTTAGTTATGTATGTATCTCTTCTGTATGATTCCCCTCTTTAGCCAGCTTCTGGAAAAACTAACCCACCACTGCTTCAGGCACATCAAATGAGAGGCTTCTGTTATACCATTTTAGAAACCTTTCCCTATCAGATTGTTATAAAATTGGATTGAATTAAATATGTTAAATACGCTAACACTGTAAAAGACCATCAGCAATCTCAACTCGCATTAGGAGGGGTGTGGTAGTCAGTCAGGGTAGAAGAATGATCACAGTTTCAAGTTGATACTGATCTGTTGGCATGTCTTAGAGTCAGAATTTTATTGCTGAAAATAACTTTTTAATTAATTTTTATTGGAGTGTAGTTGATTTACAGTGTTTTCTTTCTGCTGTACAGCAAAGTGAATCAGTTATACATATGCATATATCCACTCTTAGATTCTTTTCCTATAGAGGCCATTACAGAGTATTGAGTAGAGTTCCCTGTGCTCTACAGTAGGTCCTTATTAGTTATCTATTTTATAGTATATATTAGTGTATATATGTCAATCCCAATGAAAATAACTTTAGATACCTGTATTTCATCAGCCCTCTCAATTTATAGATTAGAAGCTGAAGTCCCCAAAGGTTAGATGAGTTGCATATATGCAAGAAACCCAGATAGCCTGCTCTTTGTTCGCTTTTCCTCCATTTACACCATGCTGACTTGAGAGAGAAAAGTTTTCCTTCAAAGTGAGAAAAAAAACCCTTCAAGTCCTAATTAGGTTCCAGTTAATTAAGGTTTGAAAATAATGGAATTGCATCCTTGGAGCTGATTCCTTGGTTCCCCAGAAAACAAGTGTGTGGACCACAGCTTTAGAAGAAGGAGCACATCAACCTCCCGTAGCGAGGGACACTGGCAAGATCCTTTATAAATCAGCTAAACGGCCCCATTCAGCAGTCCCTGCGTTTGTTCTCCTGTGCCTACTGCCTGCATTTGCCCTCACGAAAACCCACTTCTCTCCTCAGTGCTTTTGGCATAGCCTGCTGTTTGGAGTTGCTCTCTGATGCTTTGTTTGCCACACAGTTCACTGTGTCCTCATTTTTGGTGGCAGTCCTAAAAAAAAATATGTCCTCCTACACCAGCCTCAGTTAGAGAGGGTCTATGAGAGGCCTCCGTGAGAGGGGACAACATCTGTGTCGCGCTGTACGCCCTTGAACGCAGAATAAACCTGCTAAGCCAGTTTTGCCTTTCCAAGAAATCAGTTTACTGTGATGATCTCCAGAACGAGTGAGGTGGGGGACACCAGTGTGGGGCCTAGTTGTCAGGTCGAGGACAGACTGGTTTGGAGGTCACAGTAACCGCAGAAACGCAGAGCAACTCGGTCACTGGGTGATTGCAGGCAACAGCTTAGGCCAGAGCTGCCTGGCCCATGTCTGAGACGGTGCACCCTCAGGCCGCAGGGCCACCTGAGCTGGCTCCAGTCCCCTGGGACCACCTGCCTGCAGTCCTGTGTGCTTACCCAGTGTATGCTCAAATATTAGCAAGTCCTGTATGTACTGTGGTGTGAAACAGACTGCGAAGCACTGCCTTCGAGGTTGGTTTGACTACTCCAAGCATCTTTTTTACCTAGAGGGCAAACCTAGTTCTAAGAGGTCCTAGCTCAGTGAAATGATGCGCCTTTGTTTCGCTGCCCCGAAAGTCAGTGCAGGTGCCGAGTGCGTTCTATGTGCTTTTTGGCTGGATGAGTTGAATAATATCCCTTGTTTCCTGCTGCCATGTTAAATCTAGAATTGAACGCAGGTGCTTGTGTTATTTTATTGATTTATAACACATCACTCCTGTTTCTTAAAAGGAGACTCCCATAAAGGGAGTCCCAGACTTTTCTGTGTTTGTAGTAAAAGTAATCATAATGGCTTATAATGATATGCAGTTCTTGAGCTTTGGGGAAGGGGAACCGTGAGAGGCCTCCACCCCCTGCTCTGGTGGTGGTGGGGGGGGTGCGCAAGCTCCCTGGCACTTCTGTTTGTGCACACCTGGTAGCCTGCTCCCACCTAGGGGTGGAGATGACCCTGTCTGACTCTGACATGATAGGATGACAAGGCCTCGCCTCCTTTTGGAGTTCTGTGCCTGGGCCGTTGCCTTCAGAAAGGATAGCAAGGGAGGATAGTGGGGTGCTAAATAGAGCCCCCAAACAAAAACTTCTTAGGGAATATTGACTGTTTTCAGGAAACTACACCTACAGCTTTCTGGCGCTTTCTCTCCAGCCCGACCTTGCTCAGTCAGGTGATAGCGCTTAGAGGCCACTCTGTGTGAGGGCTTCTGGAGAAACAAGCATGACTGCGGGAAACTGTGCCACTTCTGGGGTCCCCGGCGGGTGGTCAGGGGATGTGAATGACTCCTGCTGAGCCGTTGACTTTCTGAATTTAGAGAAAGTTATAGTGAAGAAAATCTGGTGTTTCCATCGAACTAAAGGAGCCTTTACTAAATTCTCAGCTTC